AACAAAAACACAATATTCCAGAAACACGCTTTGCCGATCCGATCAGCTGTTCGTAACACTTCCCACAGCTAAACAGATGTCAGCGTGAACTGTCACATGTCCGCCATTTCCTGCCCGAAACTGGAAGTGACGTCATTTTCGCGGAAATTGTAGTTTTTTTTACTCGTAGGCCTTAGAAACCTATACTGGTCATGTTTGACTTTTCTGAATAGTTTCTGGGATGCTTAGAACTTGAATTGCACTGCTGGAAATAGTTTATTTTGATGCACCTGCTGTTTTCTTTGCAAATTTGCATCATAGGATTGTTTTTTCGTTTTTCCTGCAGTATATAAAAATTGATGTATCTCCAAAATAAAACTATGAAGACACTCAAATTTCCTGTTGTTGTAAACTATTTTTTGCAACTTTTTTGTATTTAAAGTTGAGGGATAAGCCTCTTAAATTTCTCAAAGTAGAAATATATGTAAAAAAAACCAAAAACGATTTTCAATTTTTTTTTGTAGTTTATTGCACTTTTTTGCAATTAATGTAGTTACTATGGACTTAATGCATACATATTATTAAAATATGAGCTATAACAGTTGTATAGCAACTTGAAATGCTCCCACAAATGGCACTACAACATGTAAAAAATATAATATAAGCTCTGGCGGACTTGGTTCTATAGTAGGTCTTAAGGGTTAAATAAATATCGTCAAATAATCGACATCTCAATTTCAGTGAAAATAATTGCGATTATCATTTTTGCCATAATCGAGCAGCCCTACCTGGCGGCTCTTTTTTAATTCTCATCTGTAAATAATCTGCTCTTTCACGTGATTCAGTTTATTTTGAAAAGTCTAAACAGGATCTTGAGCTTTATTGTGAAAGGTTTATGTGGAACATAAACAAGCGGACACGCTGTTAACGTCTTTGTTGCTAACCACAAAGCATAGGAACAGGCGCTTGTCTGTCCATAGTGTGGTTATATTAAATATAAGAGAAAGAGAGAACTTTAAGAAATTAATATAGCCACTACAGTGACCATCAAAACGATGAAAAAATATTGCCGTAAACAGTTTATTTTGTGACACCACGAAAGAAACGATAGCGAAAAATGAAATGATAGACATTTTTATATCGTCATCCGATATATATCGTTATATCGAACAGCCCTAATTTAAATACAAATCTGTATCTATCTAATACTGGGCTTTAGTGCCGCCCACCCTCCCACCCCAGTTAATCCATTGTCTGAAACAAGTTTGGTTTTTTTTGTCCTTTCCTTCAAGCCAACTTTCTTCTTATTGGTTGGCCCTTATAAACAGAAGGCAAACCACCTGCTGTGCTCACGGGTATAAAACTGTGTGGCTGAGATAACCGTATTAATTACATCCCATGTCTGTGATCTCAAAGATATTCAAGAGTTGGAGAAATTCTCTTAAGCTGAGCCTTTAGAGCAGTCTGAAGCCTAAGCTTTCGGTTCACAAGGATTATTTTCATATATCTTGTTATTTAAAACTTTGGACATTTTAAGCATAGACCACTCTAACTGCACATGTATGACTGAAAATACCGGTAAGGAAAATCCTTTTTGTAAATCAGTTTTTTTTTTGTTTTGTTTTACAACTTCTGCTAATATCAGCTAGTAACTTGGACTGCAACCATTATTTCAATAAAACTACACCATTAAGCTAGTTAGTTGATTCTCTGCATGTTTATTCAGATTGAGGTTACCAGGGTCCCCTAACCAGCTGCCCAATGCCTCATCCTATGCTTGCCTCAGTGCATGTAAAGGCTCTGTGTTTCAGAGGTCAGCCTCAGTCTAGTCTACCATCTACATCTGAAATTTGTACTCGTCTTGCCGCCAGAGTCTCTCTGCTCACAAATGAGGCAAATATGTTTATTTATTAATGTCCTCAGTCTCAAATTGTGACAATACTCCCTCATTTAGCTGGTTCTGCATGGCAGAGCTCGTGTTTAGCAGCAGTCTGTGCCTGAGCTCATGCAGTTGGAGAGGACCCAAGTGACGTTTGGGGGCTTGTGAAATGTGCAATAAGCAGTAAGTTGCCAACTGTATACTGGCCCACTGGGGTTCACAGCTTAGTGAGCTTCAGTGATGTGAGGTTTAAAACAAACATTACTTAAATGGTGTTTGTTTAGGTTTGTTTGATGAGAATGGAGATTAAAGAGGAGCAAACGCCTTTATGTCCACGCTGTCCTCTACAGTTCATCGTACCAGTATTTTTAATTGGTCTGTAAAATTAAAATAAAGTTTGGACTCGTAACCTTTTTTTGCGATCTTCAAAATGCGACGGTAAAAGCACGACTATTATTCTGCTTCTTGTTATGTCACAGCAGAATAGCTCAGCTCTGAGTTTAACTTGATTAGGGGAGGATTGGCTGAGACATGCTATAATTGTGGTCCATTTTCAGACATTAGCCCTTGGTTATTTTGATAGAAATTTTGCAGCCCATTACCCCCTCCTGTTTAAATTAACAGGGCCCCCTTTTTTAATCAGATTTTTCATCCATTTTCTTTTCCTTCTTCAGTACAAATTCTACTCAAATGAACTACCCTCTCCTATCGATTGTTTCAGTTAACCATTCTGTGTTTTGGGGAGCAGGGAAATGAATTTGCTTTTTCAAGTTTGAGTTGGTATAGAGTGAGAACAGATGGTGCAGGTGTATATGCTGCCATGCACATTATATTGGAGCCAAAAGTTACTCTTCCAAAGTTTTGTCATAACATTATAACCACAGCAACTTTTGTTGACGTCTCATAGTCTCTTTAAAACATAACTAAGAACGCTTTAATCATATTCTTATGTTCCTTGAGAAAATGTCAACATGTCAAGTTTTAACTTGTTTGTGGTTACATATTAAGGTATTACAAAGGCCTTTTTTAAAAATGATTTTTCTTTTATATACTCTCATCCAGTCATGGCAAAAAGAAAGATGACAACACGTGTCGTGTTCTTTTTACACACTGGGACATAATAAAAATGAAATTCCTAAAACCAGCTTAATATAACCTCCAATGAACTACAAAACATGGCATATTACACATCGATTTAACAAATCAAGTGTTCTTATGTCTCTTATTACTTCCATAGGTAGGTACATAGTAGCCAGTAGAGGCAGTAGCAGTGCTGCTAATCATATGTTCTCGATTGAGCATCAGAAGTGTGAGAGTACCTCTGTAAAATTTAAGGTTTTGTCACTTTGTTGGCTGGAGCGCTCAGGTGTGTGTTAACACATAGCCAAGTAGGGAATACATTAGCAGTGATCTTAAAGGGGCAATTGATGCTGCCCATAACTCTCAGCAGGGTTTTAAGGTCACTTCCAAACAATTTGAAGTCTACATTGAAGAAGGTTAATCACGAGTGGAAAACATTCAAGACGGCTGCCAATCTTTCCAGGAGTGGGCGTCCCAGAAATTTCAACCCAAGGTCACATTTTGTAATGCTTAGAGAAACTGCAAAATAACCCAAGAAGTACATCTCAGACTTTTAACTACCTGAAACCGTGCACAATTAGTAAAGTACAATTTAAAAAAGAAAAACCTCTGCATAAAACAAGTATGGGTTGCTTTTCTCTTTAAAAAGAACACGGCAGCACAGCTTAGCTTTTCAAAGTTGCAGCTAAACAAACCACAAGACAAGATGGTTGGCCATAATCCATGGCACCACATTTAGCAAAAAAACCCAAACAAAACATTACCACAAACATCTTGCACCAACAGTGAAGCACGGGGGTGGATGCTGATGGTTTGGGTTTGTTTTGCAGCTGCAGGATCTGTGTGCTTTGCAGTCTTTGAGTTGACCATGAACTCCTCAAAGTTTCAACGTGTTCTAGAAACAAATGTGAGGCCATTTGTCCAACAGATACCTCAGCCTGAGTGAGACACGGTGGCTGGACCGTAAGAGAGCTGGAAAGAAGAGTGGGCCAAAATTCATCCATAGCTGCTGACTAATGGGATGCTTTTAGTTTTCCACACATTGCTTCTGCATTTTGGCATCATTTATATTAATCATGGCACTGGCTAACTTGTCTAACTTGCTATTGTTTTTTTAAGACCTGGTCAAGGACTGATTATGTCCTGATAGGTAAAACCTTACAAGTGACAGAGAGTGTGCGAGTGTGCGATTTCACCTGCCTACCACGTGACACAATGTCAGTTTGTCAGATTGTTGGCCATGACTGCACGACCTCGCTCACGTTTGTTTTTGTTGGAAGTTTAGGCATTCCGAGGTTGGTAGAGTGAGACATAATAGCCGCGTTTCCCTTTATATGGAAAGACCCAGAGCAGTGTGATGTTTCCTCATTCTGCTCTTGTTGTTTTACATCTGACCCGAGTCTGAGTCAGACAGAAATTGATGCTCGACTATGCCTGCATATCCTGTTAAAGTGACCTTTGTGAAAGGGATTTTTAATTAGACAATGGTTTCCTTTTCTCACCCCCGTCAGGAGAGCTTTTTGCTGATTATAGCATTTGTTTGTTTGTTATGTGAAACACTCTGTTGTTAATGGACTGATTGGTTTGCAGTGTCACTTCGGTATCTGCTCAGTTCACTTCAGTGACTCATTTTAGTCATTTCAACCAATATTTAGCATTTGCTTGTGCCTAGTTCCTGTTCACAAAAAGAAGCAGATGTGGGGTTTTTCCCCAACTCATGTTTTGTTTTGTGTTTTTGTTTCATTTTTCATACTTTACTGACAGTCATGTTTGTGAATTGAATTATTTCTTCAGCATGTGCAGTTCTTTCTATTCATTTTGATCAAGTTTGAAAATTGATTTAACCTGATACATAAGATAGGATCCTGTGAACATCATGTCTGCTTTTGTTTTTGTCAAAACTGCATTATTGCTGTAAAGCGATGCAGTGTCCCTTTTGTAAATCAGTGAACCGCACACAACAATGACATTAAGTTTGACAACAAAAGAAGACATGTTGTTTTCTGAGATTGATTATCTAAGTCTACCAAGTATCAGGTGACTTAAGTCACCTAAATACCATAGTTTGGGGGGATCCAAGCACTCTTGCTGTTTCTTTTTGCAGCCACCATGTTTTCCACTGATGTTTTTAACACGCTGATACAGTTATCCTGTAAGAATCATGAAAACATGGCCTGAAAGTCGCTGTCTTGGTCTATAATATTTTGAAAAGACACAGACACTAAATTCTTCCCATTTATATTCATTTGCAGGAATACGGAGCTCTTACGCCAGTCAGCACAGCCAGCTGGCCCCAGACTTAAGGTCAACCATCTCCCCAGACCGCCACATCGCACCAATCTATGAGGATCGGACGTACAAGGGCCCGTTGTATCGCAGTCCCAGCCACACCCACCAGAGCACGCTCTACAGGAGCACATCAGGTTGGCCCCACATTATTATTAACTTTGGACATTGTTACTAATAATAGTTAGTAACAGTCTCCCTATGATACTAAAATTATGCGTTTCCCTCTCACAAGTAAGAATTTTGCTGCCAGATTGTTGGAAGAACCTGAGTTTAGTGTCAACAAAAGTGCAAAGCATCACCTACGCTAACAACTGCTATGAAATACTTGCTGTGGAGCCATGGGGAACATTTTTTAAAAGTCAGAAAATGCTTTTCCTGTCAGTAAGTTGAGGTGGCACAATTGTATGTATGCAGCTGGTTGCAGATGAATCTAGCCAGCAGATATGGGTTAAAAAGAGAAAGCTTGAGAGAGGAGGCAGAGGACATCGTATACCGAGGTAATGTTTTTCTTGATGCTACGCGTCCCCTGCCACTCAGTGACAGTGTTGCACAGATAGAAGCTGGGAACCCCTGCAGTACCTTACAAACAACACAGTTTTTGATTTGAGTGTGTTTGTGTGCGGCAGATCAAATCTACTAGAAACTCCATTTACCATCTTCTTTGCTTGTGCTGCATCTTCGTGCGGTAGAGCCAGGTCAGGATGAGCACAGAATTTTTACTCTATACATCCTCACATCAGAAGTGCCTTCTTCCTGTTATGTAGTTTCTTTGACTTTAAGTCTTTGCCATTTAATCCAGGTGTCTTTGACTCTTTCCCATATCCCCCATGGAGGACTATCGCTGTCCATGTGGGGGTCGGACATTTTTCTGTCTGCCCTTTAGCGCACAGTATGTTATGGCTTTCTTTCTTGCTTTTCTCTCTTGAGTTCTACTTTTCCTTCTCTCTTCCGCTGCCTCCATTTCTATCCTCCCTCCACTGTCAGACAGAAATGGGTGAGACATGAGTTAATGGGCAGGTTCTGATATGTCATCCTGCCACAAAGGAGTCCATTACCCATGTGTCACATTGAGAATGAGAAGAAGGATGAAGGGGACAGCTTGGTTAGCCACATCCACAGCCTGTGCTCTTCCAGCTGTCCTGATGTTGGTATTTTCCTCTCATCATCTCTCCTGCCTCGGATACGCATGTTTAATTCCCATGATGTGCACGCGCACTCCATTCAGGCTTCTCCTCGGCACACCGGAGATCTGCTTAGACCGATAAGTTCACTAATAAATGCTATTGGTGGTATGAAGAAGCCCCACAGACAAGCCACTGTAATGTGTTTATTCCAGCTATACTAAGAAAAGGCGAGTGGGATAGAGCTGGAGGGGGTGTTCAATATGGGGGCTTTGTGAGAGCTATCTCATTAGAAAAATCCAATTTGATCCCACAGTTTTCTTTGTTATGTTGTGAAATGAAATTTCAATGGGCCATTTCCCCCTATTGGCTTTCCATGCATTTTTGGGGGCTTTTTCTGGAAGCAGGCAGTGTACTTTTTTGTGCAAGCAGGAGCAATGGAAGTATCGATCTTTTTCTGAGAAGGTGAGAAATGGAATCCAAATAGTTCTTGTAAAATTGCAAAGCTGCAGTATGTTGTTTATAATTTCTCTTCCAATGTCTTTGGCTGTGTAAGGTTACATTTTGGGAGATAACCATGTTGCGCGGTAGAGCTGCTGCCCAACATAGAAGTGCAGTGATGCGCGAAATTGTGTTTTTGGAGTAACCCCACCAGTTGACGTCTTGGCTGCTGGCAGGAGGGAGTTTGAGCACGCTCGTGCCAAGTTCTGTTGGATGGAGGATAGAGATCTGACCGGCGCAGCAGTCACGCTGCCTCATATCACGTGGCTCCGGTGAGAAGGAGGGCTGAATCCAAGCAGCTTGTTTATGCCGTTCTGTTTGTGACCCATTGTGTTAAAAAACTAGGTCATAATACCATTCGGTGCAAATGAAAAGAGGAAAGATGACTGAAGGGAGGTGCTCTCAGGCTGACTTCTTTTCTCCTTCTTTTGGAGCGCGCCTTGGTTTACCAAATTCTGTCTGCTTTGTTTGGCAAACTTAGCCTGAGCATAGGATGTCTCAGAGGAGCAAGAAGGCGGTGAAGAAAGGATTTGTGGATCACCAAGCAAGTTGAGTCCTCCTGTCCTCTTTGAAAACCAGCAGGATCCTTCTGGCTAACACAAGCTTGTAAAAGCAACAAGAAGTAAAGAGGTCTTTGAAGGAAAAGAGTTCTGCTTTGTGCTACCATGGGAGCTGTGTTTTATCCTCATCATTAATCTGTTCCAGATTTGAGAATTTGCTGAGCTTGTCAGAACAGCAGCATGTCTGTATTTCCAGCTTTGTTTAAAGATGTATGCCTATGGCGGGGAAAGCTGGAAGTTTAGCTGAAGACGTCTAGACGCTGCTAAGATGTTTTTGTGATTTTGGTCTTGTGTTTAATCTGAATGATTTGGATTTATCCCTTAGGTGTGGGCAGTCTGCAAAGGTCGTCTAGCCAGCGAAGTGCCATGACCTACCAAAGAAACAATTATACTCTTAACACATCAGCCACCTATGCTGATCCCTATCGCTCAGCACAGTACCGGCCTTCCGATCCCAATTACACCCGCCAGGCTGTTGTCGTGGATGATGGTGCCGCCCGCTCTCCTTCCATAGACAGCATTCAGAAGGATCCGAGGTAAGCTCGGCACACATTTCACTCTATTTCTATGCTTCTGTTTCCCTAAACTTATTCTGTGGTTAGTAACCAGTGTAGTGCAACATAAACCAGTAATCCAGGGGGACTACTTTTGCTTACAAGGCAGTCCTGTTCTGCTGGGTCAACACCGGTGTCCTCTTACTATTCAAACAGCGAACCTCCTGGGTAGACACGCACACACAGCTCTGGCCGTTAAGCTGGCTCAACTATGCCTGGCCACTTAACAAAAGATTCTCACATGTGCTGAAGTGCTGTGTCTGCTCTTGTCGTGTAAGCGTAGAGAGTGGATTGACATTTGCAGTGACCCTGCTCATTGGGAAATTTGTTTACACTTGTTTATGCTGTTGTCTAAGTATTTAAAGTGAGTGCACCATGCTTATTTTATGTGACACCGGCCCATTCTGGAATGGCGTCAGAGTCAAAATTCCTCTAGAAAATTCATTTTAACATTGCTCCTGTCTAGGAAAGACTTGTTAGTTTAGCTCAAAGGCCACAAATTTAGTTCTAGCAGCCTGGGATTGTGATGTGCATAATTCAGTCAGTGTGCCAAAGGTATTTCTCTTACAACTTAAGCCCCTTTCACTCTTTGCCTCCTTTCCATTAACCACTTTTCCCTAGATGTCTTAACAGGCAATTTCACTAGGTTGAATCTATTAACATTCATGTATCACTTTCAGCGAGGCAAAAATTTGACCTGTGTGCATTCACATTAACGGATGAGCATGCACAAGATTAAAATGTAATCATGCACAATCTTCCTCATATGGGAAGTAGTGGCTCTATCAGTGTTGGTGTATATTTCTAAATGAAGAGTCTGAATTAGGGATAATAATTAGCATGAGAGCAGTTAAATGTTGTTGTCCTCAGTAGTCAGAACCAGAAGTGCCGGTCGATTAAAGTACTTATTGGTATTTTGTTATTGTGCAACACTAATTCAGGCAACTTGGATCCAATATGGATATAAACTACAAATTGACTGGTCGGCAGAGGTCTACAATCACAAATCATTTTGTCTAATTTTAAGTTTGAAAAATCCATTATTAGTATCTTAAAAAAGAAGTTTAGATACAATGCATTCCTTTATTCTTTCTTTAATGTGCTACATGCACAAACTCAATAATCTAAGTGTGACCTAACTGGACCTGCAAATGTAACTTCTTGGCTCTATCAGCCTGTCCTCAGGTGCTGAAGAATTCATTTTCAGGAAAAAGGTGCCTGTGGTTTTTAAGGAGGCAACCTTCTTCCAGTCGCTGCCGTCATGCTGATACCTTTTCACCCCACGTGTACTTTTAGAGAGTTCGCGTGGCGTGACCCAGAGCTAACAGAGGTGATTCACATGCTGCAGCACCACTTCCCATCAGTGCAGGCCAATGCAGCTGCCTACCTGCAACACCTGTGCTTTGGTGATAATCGAGTCAAGAATGAGGTAGGTGTTCTACCACTAATCCCTTACACTCTTATTACAGTGAGTTATTTCAACTTCTTATGTTATTCAAATTTTTTTGTTCGTTTATTGGGCCTGCCCAGATTTTGGAGATGTGCATATACTTTACCAAAAACTCTTAATATCTGGCAGATGAGAAGAGCAAAGCCAGCGACAGTCAAAGTGAAAACTGGCTTTTTAACTACAATTTTGTGGTATGACTATAGCAGTAACTTTGAGCTCTGAGTTAGCCTGTATAAATCATCCATCCATCCATCCATCTGCTCTATGACAACTGAGATTGGTTGGAAACTATCCCAGTTGTCCTAAGGGGAGCGGCAGGGAACACCCTGGACAGGTTGCCAATCTGTTGCTGAGCTAACACGTGCAAACACGCAGCTATCCGTGCTTATAATAACACTTAAGATCAATTTGGAATCACCAGTTAATGAAACCCCACTAACTGCATGTCTTTGGACTGTGGGAGGAACCTGCAATACCTGAAGAGAACTCACACAGACAAAAGGATATACACAAATCAGCCATTTTATTACTGGTGCAATGACTACACCTAGTTATTCCATGAATATTGAATGTTGTCTCTATGTCTGAAAAACTGCGAAATACAACTGCTGTAGTTTTTGTACAATCATCTCCTTCAGCTGTGATCTATCTTATATGTCACACTTTACTACTTTACTAGAAGGTAAAACCTATCAGCGTGGGTTATCTCATACGAGCTTGTGGATTATAGAGAGGTATTTTTTTTAATGCGTGTTCCAAGAGGTTCACAATTACTTTTCTGAGCTAGTGTCAGCTTAACAAGCAGAACTGATGACTGGAGCTGTGAAAATGGAATTTAGGTCTGGAAGTGTGAGGCGGTCAGACAGTCAGGTGGTCACTTTGACACAGACAAAAGAAATTATTTGTAACTAGGAGATGTATTATTTGGTCAATTCAACTCGTCGAGCTGAAAAAGTTTAGAGCTACCAAAGAGTCACAAGAATGTGCACATAGTCACAATCACACTGCTCATGCACATCAGAAGCAAGTATATTTAAAGAAAAAACATCCACAGCTTACAGCAACAGTTAGAAAAATAAATAAATCCAAAGAGGCATCTGCTCTGGATTTGTCCTTTCAGACATTAGCATAATGGTGATTTTGACATATAAAGACTAAGATAAGTTATGAAGACGGTATTTTTTAGATACTGTTTTTCTTGGATGCCGTATGACAGAAGAACTTGATTCATATTACAAAGCGAAAAGCAGGGAGCTTTTTTTTTTTTTCAGAGTACACATTGTTCTGTTCTCCAGAAGGAAATGTAAATCCAGTTTTCTTTTAGTCTACCATCTCCTGTGGTTAAGGCTTTTTCCATGGTCATATATTAGCATTTCTTTTCAAAATAATTTGTTTGGTATGAATAAATTCCCTGTGCGTAGATTCTCTTGTCACATGAATAAATGCATGATTTTTGTCCCCGTGTTTTACAGGGAAAGTTTTAAAAAATGTTGTTAGTGGTCAGAATCATTTCACATCTGAAAATCCTGACTCCAGGTGTGTCGACTGGGAGGAATCAAACACCTGGTGGACCTGCTAGACCACAAAGTCCTTGAAGTCCAGAGGAACTCCTGTGGCGCTCTGAGGAACCTCGTGTATGGCAAAACTATGGATGACAACAAGATCGCTGTTAGGAACGCCGGGGGTATCCCAGCACTGCTCCGTCTCCTTAGAAAGACCGTGGATGCGGAAGTGAGGGAGCTTGTGACAGGTTAGTGTGGAGAATGCAGAAACTCTAAGGGGAATTATATGCTTTAAAAAAATCTGTCAGGGCATCCATCCTCACGCTTCTCTGTTAAACTTGAAAAGAATCCAAATTACACTTCATTCACACGCACAAATAGATTCCTCGAAGTTAGTCAAATCTTCACATCTGGGCCATTTCTGATCGGTGAATAATTTCGATTACTTGCTTTTTATTTTTAGCTCACAGGCTAACTGATTCACTGACAAGTCATTTCAGCACTGGTATTATCCAGCATCAGACACAGCAACTTTACAGAATTTGATAAATGACTTGCTGGGCATTACAGGAGAGATCATTACAGTACAGTTACAGTGGGGCTGTAACTTATGAATCCTGACATGGTCTCTGAAGAAGCTCGAGGTTGTTTAGTGCTGCGTGTCATGGTTAACTGTGGATTACTGCGCTTAAAGATGCTTTGAATAAGCTATTAAGCAGACGGCTTACCATAGTCTGTTCTGAAATTATGATTGTACTAATAACTCAGGTGTAGAGGCTTTTCCTTAAGTTGCTGCTACTGCTGTCACTGCTGCTTATGACATATGCAACAAAATAAAACCACATTTCTGTGGGATTCATGCTTTTTCTTTTATTACTTAGGCTGCCGTTTTAGCTCCTTCTCTGTCAGAAAACAAGCGTTCCCGCCAGTGGGCTTGATAATCCTCTCTCTCTCCCTCTCTGCGTTGGCCTGTGTGCGACTCAGCTGCATTTGTGTGTTGTTTGAGGTCTGCAAATAGGGTATAAATCCGTGTTGTTTAGGATCAGGGTGGAGCACTACAAAAATAAGCAAGCCAAGACATTTGGCTCCCAGGTGGCAGAGTCAGCTGTTTGTGCTGGACTCCAAACCCCCGGTCTAACATGCGCTCAGGTTACAATCCAGCAGTCCCCCGAGGGTGAACAATACGAGCCTGAATATGAACCCTTTTGTATTGTCTGCGAGAAGATAATCTTCAGCTTCCTTTTCTAGTAGAGCGTTTGTTGACTCTGCTTAAAAAGGAGAAAATAATCATTCTCACATTGGAATCTACAGTCTCTAAATTGTCTTTCTTCACACTTGCATTTCAGATGATGCGCAGGCATTTCCAATTCGTCTCCTTTAGTGCGATCTCTGTTTAGGTTCTTTTCCTTTCCTTTCTTCCACAGAAAGCCTGGTGTGGGTAATTGGTAGTGCAGACCCTAGGAACAAGAGTAATTTGAAAAGGTCAGCAGGGTTGCATCACCCTGGTTAATGGTGCGTTCCATCTGAAGTCTGAATATTCAATTGGAACAAATCAGACTTCCAACTCAGAAAGTCAGAGAAGCCCCATCAATTCTGATTTAACAATCCAAGATGGCAACAGTGCAGGTAATCTTCAGTAAAATTGTAAAACTTACAATCTGAAATATTACTATTGTGTATTTGTGACTCACTAAATGAGCCATACGCAAATGTGCTGCAGCGGTGTGTTTTTAAAGTGCAAAAAACCCAACCACTGTGCTGTGTTGCTAGTAATGCACGAATGGCTCCACCTTGCTGAGGAGCAAAACAAATGCTGTTTTTCCTCAGTTTTCCAACTTTACTACTGCAGCGTCACTCCCAGCTCCAACATTCGACTTCAGAGTGAAATGGAAAGCAGCACAATTATAGCTGATGAGAAACGCCCACATAAAGAGCTTTCAGGTGGATGACAAAGACAGCCCACACCATAGCTTAAAGTGGAGAAGACAGACATTATTCACTCACCCACAGCTCCTTATGAGGCAGCTTTTGTGGGATATTTAGAATTTGAATTAGAACACCTTCTTTAGTGTCGTTGCCAGTGGAGTTCGATTATTTGAGCTTCTATTGTCATCTGTGCTTCATTAGAGCTAGCTATAAGAACAGGCCACCCTTGCTTCAGGTCATGGGTCATGCTGGGGGAGACTCACAACATGATCTCATCCCTTGACCTGCCTCCTCTTCCAACAGCTGTTGTGGTTATTGCTCTGTTCTTAATCACTTCTTCAGACACCTGAAACTGCCATTCATGCACATACACACAGTCGTGCATCATGACTCCAGTGGACTTTACATTAACTTGCTTCACTTTTACTGACTTTCTTTAACCTTAACCTTAAACAATATCTGCTACTAAGCATAACCTGAATCTAAACTTATCTAAACATGTCACTGTGTTGAAATGTAATGATTTATTGTATAAGGACTTCTTCCCCAAAAGGAATAAACGTCCCCATTATATGACAGATTTAGGCCCTTAAAACATGAGTAATACCTGGACAACAAATACACACACACACACACACACACACACACACACACACACACACACGCTCTGTTATTGCCCTGTTCTGACGTTTTATCTTGGTTTTACTTCCAAAACTTTGCTCCACACTGATTGCAATCAACATGCCAAACACTGTTTTTGCATATTCTGGACTTTGAAATATTAAATGACTGTTTAAACAAGAGCTTTTTTTTTTTTATTTAAAAAATAAATGCTTGGAAAAGATTACCTACTTCTAATGTACATACAGAGAAGCTGAATGGCATTAACCCACAAAGCTAGTTTTAGTTGCCAAGTCTTGGTGTGATTTGCTATGTTTGTGTTCTTGGAGAACAAAGAATGAGAAGATTAATAACCTTTTTTTCAAGTGATAAATGATAAAGGTAATTTCATCTGAAAATATATCCATGACTTTCACTGCGTGCGGGGCGCAAAAATGAAAAATGCTCACTAACCTCAAAAGTACAAGCCGAGCTGATTTAGTCGATGCAGCATTAGAGATCAGACAGTACTGAAGCTTTTTTTTTTTTTTTAACTCCAAAAATTAAAAGGTTAATAAACTGATGATCAGCAGCTTTATACTAACTGAACTGAAAGACGACCCAGTTATTGCTTCGCCAGGCAAAGTCGATGACGTGTCGACCTGTAGTTGAAGACACAGAAATGGTCTCCGGGGAGAAGTGACACATTTGGGGAATCAATCAAGATCACTTTCATTCCGCCTGTCGAAAGTGTTTAGCCTCACTTGGAGTGAAAAATGAGTGATTAATGAAAGTCAGCTTTGTTGGGCAGCTAACAAAATATACAGAAGCATTTAAATCACACCAGAGAGTTTTTGGACTGAGTCACAGACATCCTGGTGGGTATTGAAGTCATTTTAATAATTATAACATGAGTTCAGCTGACTAAATTTTCCAAAGTCGTCATCCACACATATTTAGCAAATGCAGCATGACATAGGCTTGCAGGACTGCATTATGACAGAATGTAATCAAGTGCATTGGATTAAGTACTGCTAAAATGTCAGAAAGCTCTTTAATTTCCAAGATCACTGCTTGTAATATTTTCAGATTTTATTTAGGAGTCTCTCTGTCTCTCTCCTTGTGTCTCGTTTAGCCTTTCAGTGTCATGTGTCCAATAAATATGACAATGCTGACTGTTGCGACACACATATTCTGCAGGGTACAGGTGTCTCAGTAGTCAGGATGAGTCTGTTCTTTGTGTATTTCTGTGATTAAAAATGGCAGAACTGAAGTTGGTAAAAACACCAAATTTGCACAAGTGGGTGACTTAGATTAACTACATGTAAAATTTGGCAAGTGGCTGCTGATGAGGGGAAGTGGTGCCAGACTTACTCTGAACTCTGCAGGCAACTGTCAGCCATATACACCCAATAATCATTGCAGTTCTGAGTCACTGTGCCAGTGCAATCCCTTGTGGCCATTTAGTTCTTTATCTGTGATCTTTAGACGTTTACTCTGTTTGTGTTAAAAACCCAGAATGCGTTACAGCTGAGCTACTTCAGGGCAAAAGATATGTCCATTTAACTTCCTTAGCTCTTCTAACCACCTTCAGATTATTTATTTATTATTTTGGGGGTTTTTTTCTCCATGCGTCTCCCTGTGTCCTCCTGCGCTCTCACAACTCACAACAATGTTTACCTTGGGTCAGCGTTTCAAAGGCAGGCCAAGGCACTGGAGAACAAGCCACTGAGTAGGGAACAAGGTTGACGTCGGTGCCTACAAGCATACATCTGTTCCGTCTGACTGTCAGGTGTAACTTATGGGTATTGCTGCTGGTGTTGCACCACTGACAGGGTTGTCAGTCACACCTCAGTGAATTCTCCTGTTGATTTCTCCCGACATGCTGCCTCCACAGGATCAGTCTAAAATCCAGCTGAGAACATTCTTCCTACAAATTGACATTCAGTGGCTGTTTAGGAACTTGCCAGAGGCAGAAAGAGTGAATTGTGGAGTCAGAAGAAGAAGCAGGGAGGTTGGTCAGTGGACATGAGTGTCTTATCACTGCATTATTGGTCCTATTACGAGGCAGTCTGTGCGTGTCCCGTGAGAAAGGCAAACACAGAACTGAATGTGCTGGTGGAAGGAGCAAAGGTCAGTTAGTGCAGAATTAAACTGAGTCCCACTGAGTCAAGTTGAGCAGAGTCTACTAGTCCGCCTGACACAATGCACAAAATGACTCTTACACACACACAGACACACACTGCTGCCAGGCTCCAGTAAGAAGCACGTGCTGCATGTTAACTTTATAAGTTGCGTATCACATGATTTTCAGTGCCGCCCTGTTATTTTAGCATAATAAAAGGAAAGTAATGAAAGTTCACTAAAGGACTTTAATGGGTTTGAAAGCACTTTGATTTAGTGTTAATAAGGATAATGGTAAGAGAAATTGTTGATTAAATGACTGGCAGTGGCAGAGACCTTACCGTCTTGGCAGGCATATATCTGTCTGTAAAGCTTCTTGCCAGCAGTCTGCCTCAATCGGGCTCTTGGGCCATATTACAGAGTATTATCGTCTCCATTGCTTCAATCAGAGCAGGACGGAGAGGCAGCTTACTGAAAGAAGATAAACAGTGAGGTTGAGAGAAAAGTAGCCAGGAAGACCTGTCATTATTTGTTTTACCTCTCCCAGTAGTGTGTCCATGTATATTACGGAGTTCCATGTAATAGCTTCATTGGTCTGTTGATCATGTGATGTGTTCTGAATGCACAGACTGAGGTGAGCAAGTGGTAGAGCAACAACAGCAAATGGATTCATTAACATGAAGCATTAAGCACTCACACATGAACCACTAACACACATGCACACTGTACTTGAAGCATTGTTTTGGCTGCATTTTGAACATTACACATGTATTCAGCCCTGAGTGTTTACTGTAGAATTCAGCTGGTGTAACATTTGTCTCCTGCAGGGCTACCAATGCCCTACAGCAGTCGGGCTGTGTCTTAGTGTAAGCCTGGCAGCAAGAGTCACCTAATTAGAAGAACATGTTACATGCCGGCTAATCCATGACAGATGCAGTATCAAAAGCTGCCACGACTGTGCGTGATTATCAGTGGTTACCAAAAGTATATTTGAATTGAGTGAAATGATGGCATAATTTCTAAAGACTTCTACATTATTTATATTTCAATTGAAATGACTGAGCTGATGCCATATGGATCCCCACCCCATCCTTCTTACTATATTTTTCATTTCAAACAAATAATCTTTGCCGCAAGGATAAGCTGCAGAGATGAAAGTTGACTTGAATATCTGATGCCTTGATGTTCGAGCCGTGGTATAGTCATATCTTTACTCAGGTTCTCGGTTTGCATGTTGTCGGACACGTCCGCACACACTGAACTAAAAGCCAAAGTTGGTTCCCCCCCTCTAGGTTAACCTAAGTGCACATGACAGCTCAGCTGACTTGACAGAAGGTTTGCACGCCTGCTTCTCAATGCTTGTGTTTGCATGTGGCTATGTCCTCAGGGGTGCTGTGGAACCTGTCGTCGTGTGACGCCGTCAAGATGACAATCATCCGGGACGCCTTAACAACTCTGACTAACACTGTGATCATCCCTCACTCTGGATGGAGCAGCTCCACCTTCGATGACGAGCACAAGCTGAAGTTTCACTCCTCTCTGGTGCTGAGGAACACCACAGGCTGCCTGAGGTAAACCACCTGATGATCACACTTGGCACTAGCTCCCCACTGTGGACATCTGATGCTATTGCATGTAATGACTGATGAGCTCATAGCGTGCGTTTGAAGAAAATATGATAATAAAGTGACCCGCCTCAAATCTAAAAATAAAAAATTTGTAGATATGCTCGTAAATCACTTTTTATTTAGCGAACATTATCAGGATGATGTGCATTTTTTCATAAATATGGGTTTAATGATTAAACACGATTTAGTGAAATGGGTACATTTTTCTGTCTTGTTGACGTTTTAAAGCCGTCACCATTTCTTTGAATATCACAGTCAAAACTATTGGAAAACTCACAACCTCTCTCCTGGGACTTCTTCCTTTGAGAATAGTGCAGTGTGTAGAGCACAGCTTCTAATTGGTGCCAGCTAGTTGAGGTGATTGTTTGTGTAACACTGCACTCAAACATGCATAGGTGTGGTCATTGGGTCTATACTTACTCAGCAAAGTACTGTAATTTCTTTAGTCAGACCACACACATGCACACCTCTCATACATTATGGATGGTGTATGGGGATTGCAAAGCCCACATCACACATTCGAGTTGGAGACACACACACACATGTGCACAGCTGTCATTTTGTGTGTTTGCATATGCTCATCTGTTTGTTGAGCAAAGCCCCAAATCAAATGTCGTGTGTGTGTGTGTGTGCGTGCGTGCGTGCGTGCGTGCGTGCGTGCGTGTGTTGTTTTTTTTCAAAGGAACCTGAGTTCAGCTGGTGAGGAGGCCAGGAAACAGATGCGCACTTGTGAGGGCCTGATTGACTCACTGCTCTATGTCATCAAAGCCTGTGTAAACACCTCTGACTTCGACAGCAAGGTACGCACAAAGACACCCATCCACTGACACACACACACACACACACACACACAGCCAAGAGGGGAACATGCTGCCACATGATAAGAGGGAAGAATCCTACTCATCCTGATTGAATCATTTGTTTCCTTGTGCCTAAATGACCCTCAGCTGCCAGAAGCAACTGTTTCATGTGCTTTGTCATCCAAAGCACAACTCATATTTTCGCATTCTGATTGACCGGGCTGCAACAGTGGTTGCTCATATTACTAATGGCCATAGTTAGAACCACATAAGCTTAGGCTTCAGAATGCTTTAAATGTTCTGTTTCACACTATTTTTCAAGTCTTGGATCTCTTTGATGTCATAAAGAGCAGATGTACTTAATGGGAGACACAGTCCTGGCTGTCTGTACTGTATGTGAGGGAAAGACAGTCAGAGAAAAGTTGGCTATAAGCGAGGGAGGCATGAAAGCAAGAGGAGGCAGAATGACTTGTTTCAGACAGAGGTGGAATTGAGGGGCCGCACCAAGGCCCAGTATAGATGAATAAGGGTTATGCTGAGAGTTCAAGAATTAAAGATAGAGCTGGAATGGCCATTATATATCCTTAACCTTTTTTATACAACTGGGTATTGTAAAAGCTTGTTCATCTGTGAATTGTAAAAAGTCAAGTGGACCATGTCTAATGTGAAGATCAGCACTCTGGGAACTCGACCCTTAACCGTGTCAGTCATTCATGCTCATTGTCATTGTGTAAGGCAAACCCATTACAAAACCCAAACAGCGTGAAAATAAATTTGTGTGCTCTGGTTGACGAATTTTGTCTGCCTTGAGTTCCAAATCTAATTGATATCATTGTATTACTGCAAATAGAAGGTGCATGTCCCACACACTGGCTGCAGATACTGTAGCATGCTGCACAGAGTTGTAGCCTTTGTCATGGTGATTAAAAGAGCCTCTACTATAACTACCTGTTCCACTGCCTTTCTTCTTGTACCTGCCAGATTGTGGAGAATTGTATTTGCACCCTAAGGAACCTGTCATATCGTCTGGAGCTGGAGATGACAGCACCCAGACTGATAGAGGGGCAGGAAGTGGATGGCTTACTGGCCAGAGAATCTCCCAGTAAAGAGGTGGATTCCAGCTGTTGGGGCAGAAAGAAAAAGAAGAAGAAAAACAGCCTTCAGGAAGACACAGTGAGTGTGGGACTGTATCTTTAAAATAGCAAAATATTTCTATTATCATGTATGGTATACTGGAAAATGAGTGAAGACCACACAGAAAAGTTGCAATAATGTCATTATATACCACAGCCTGACAAACACTTATATTCTGATTCAGTGGGACGGTGTGGGGCCCATCCCTGGCTTCTCCAAGTCTCCCAAGGGTGCAGAAATGCTTTGGCATCCTTCGGTGGTTAAGCCTTACTTGACTCTGTTGGCTGAGAGTTCCAATCCTGCAACTCTGGAGGGAGCCGCCGGGTCTCTTCAGAACCTGTCAGCTGGCAACTGGAAGGTAAAGTACCTATATTCACTTTATATACACTCACTGATCACTTAACTTAACAGCTCAGCACGTCTGCATCGATCAAAGCTGACACCAGTTTAATTCTGGAACTCACACATGCTAAAACACACATCTTAAAACCAGACATTTTCCTGAGTAGGGTGTGGACCCTTCTCAAGTTTCACTGCTTTCTGTGTGCACAGTTTGCAGCATACATCCGTGCAGCAGTGCGAAAGGAGAAAGGACTGCCCATCCTGGTGGAGCTGCTTCGGATGGATAACGACAGGGTGGTGTGTTCAGTTGCCACTGCTCTGAGAAACATGGCACTGGATGTCAGGAACAAGGAGCTCATAGGTCAGGAGTCACACTGTCACACATTTTACACTATACACCATAATGACTCTGTCTGGATGAATAATATTAAACACAAATATAAAGCCGCCTTATTGTTTTTCCTATCGGATTCAGCATATTTAACAGTCCAGCCTCTGCTCATGTTGTACCAATTAGGCAGAGGCTATGTTGTTAAAGCATTTAGCTTGGATACATGCCCTTACTCAGAATAAAACACCCACCTAAAGTGTGGATGTTACAAGCACATTATTTTCTGTTATTTAAGGAGGTACATGGATATTATATAGATGATCTTTAGGAAATTAGCTGAATAACGTGACTCTACACGACACTACTTATTAATATTTTAAACATTTTCCATCTAAGCTGGCTCTGTGATTTATACAGTGTGCAAACCGACAAATTGTTTAACAAATTGTTAAACAGTGGGGGTTTTTTGTTAGTTCAGTTTGGTTTTTTTTAATTAATGGCAACTACAGAACAAGGGCCTTTTGTGACAATTTTAACTATTGGTTATTATTTTTTTAATCTCCCTCTAGCCTTTTGTTTTTCATGAAACATTCTCATTTAATGGAAAAAAACCAAGCTTTTATGTGCTCTCTGTGGAGTTAATGAGGAGTTACAGTTCCAACAAAGCAGGGGTGATGCCTGTAGCAGGAAGGGTGGGGTGGGGGTTGGTTCTGATTTAAGGTGCCTTCAGTTTTGTGGTTGTGAGTTTATGCTGCAGGGTTTTTTTTTCTTTTTCTTTTGGTTTTCTTACCACCAGGCTGCTGCTGCTTTACAGTAGGATGCACACACGCCAGTGTCCTTGCGTTGATGCAATGTCATTTAGGATAACTTTGTACAACACTGCAGGCTAAGCAAAATGAATATCAGCCCGATTATAGAAGCTCCACGGTGTAGTTTAGGTCACAGTGGAAGACCTTTACATTATGTAACATAGAGGGGGGGAAAAACCAAACTTGTATGAGTGGTACTCCCCTCCCTTCTCCGTGCATAAGCATCTGCCTACAAACATGCTGTACAGTAAGTGTGTCACAGTGTATTTCCTGCACGTCTCACCTCCCCTCCTCGCTCTTAGGGAAGTACGCGATGAGGGACCTGGTCAACCGTCTCCCTGGGGGGAACACCACCCTGCTGTCGGACGAGACCGTGGCAGCCATCTGTTGCACCCTGCACGAGGTCACCAGCAAAAACATGGAGAATGCAAAAGCTCTCGCTGACACGGGCGGCATCGAGAAGCTGGTCAACATAACCAAGGGCAGAGGAGACAGGTGCGCTACAGAAGCTCGTATTTGTCTGAGAGTTTGTTGTTTTTTTTCCTCAGTGTACACACTGATACACACCCGACTGTAACTTGTGCACACGGTGAAAAACCCCCACCAGAGTCGTGGATGGGGATAAAAGGCTGTTTTGGGCACTGACCAGCTGAAGTTTTATACAAACACACACACCTAAGTAACACTTTGATGCTTGGAGAAGGAGAAGTTTTAGCCACAGGGAAGGTGGCATTGTATGCATTGAGGTTTTATGTCCCTGTGGAATGATGGCACAGCAGCTATTTCTAGCCTGCTATATATTCAGTAATGTTCCAGGGTAAAACACACTGAGGACAAACTCTTTCCTCAAACATCATGTCCTGTAATATTTACAGTGTGTTTTTAAAGGAAGGCTAAAGGCATTCAGGAATACCCTAAAACATTTGGGCTTTTGACTGTTTCTCCCAGGTACTCTATGAAGGTGGTTAAAGCAGCTGCTCAGGTGCTGAACACACTGTGGCAGTACAGAGATCTACGTGCCATCTATAAAAAGGTAATGACATTGAGTTTGGTCCTTTCTGGTGTCCGGTTTAATGTCTGTGAAAAATACACGGCATATCAAAAAGAATGATCTGATTTTAAAGTGTTTTAATTCTGAAGCCGTTCACTGGTCATGACTGAAACATGTACAGGTAGAAAGAAGAGAAGGATCTATGGCTTTCACATGGTTGCTGACAGGTAGTGTAACAATAGCCTGACATGCTTGCAAAAGTATGGGATGAGTTTGAGTATCGTACGTGCTTTAAAAAATATCTATCCTTTTGAAATCAGATGGTTCTTTTTGATACATCCAGCATATTTATCCAGAGGATCAATGTTTTCCTCTCCCCACTACCCCAACAGGATGGATGGAATCAAAACCATTTCCTCACACCAGTGTCCACACTTGAGCGAGACCGGTTCAAGTCCCAGCCCACCCTCCCCACCAGCAACATTCAGATGTCTCCAGTCAACCACCCTGGTACATTCAGTTCACTCTATTCCGTGCCCAGTCGAAATAGACACTGCCTGTGAGACCGGAAAACCTCTGGAATTTAATGTTACGAAACGTGTTTTCTTTTTTTCCTTGCAGCTGCCAGCGCCACGTCGTCTCCTGCACTGCTGGGCATCAGAGAGCATAGAGACACCATCAGAGATTATCAGAGAGCACAGTCAACTATGCAATTTTCTAATTACCAAGGAGACAACAGTATTCATAAAAAACCGTATACAGGTACACACCTGAAAGCCACTCGGGGTTACGCTCCTTAAAAATTAAATTTGGCTCACACTCACCATCTGCACCAGACTGCGTGCTGTTACACACTTGCTGCTATTCGGGGCGTTATCTGTTTTATCCTTCGTAACGCTCCAAGCGGATTCTGTGGCCAGTCTCCTCTCGTTGCCAAGACGGTCCTCTCTTATCATTTCCACCAACCCCTGCCAGCCCCATCACAGTCAGTTGAATTCCGACCGCTTCAGGGCGGTTTTTGTGCTGCAGTTGGTCTGCACAGCACTAAAGTGGACCAACCAGCCAGGAGTGGACACTCCACAATGGTGCCATTGTTAGCATCACCAGGTCACAGCTTGCAGACAGGGCCAGTGAGTGGGTACCCAGACATACTACAGTCAGACAAGAGCTCTCACCAGCCTACTCTGGTTGCTGAGAACAGGGGGGAGGCCAGAGTAAACAAAATGAGCCTGCAGCCTCAAAAATTCATCTATTACATAGGGAAGTGGAAATTGAGTTTCTGGATTCCACCCGTTGGATAAAGTGCCAGTGGAAATACCCATCCCATGGGCTGTATAAACAACAGAACAGCAGTGGCCAAGTCTATTATTTGGTGTTATTTCTCTCCAGCGTAGCGCGCCACTTCTTGATCCTCTACTATCAAAATACAGACATTTGCCCTTCAGGGATGTGCTGACTTTTTTTCACTGATATGAAGTGTGTTGGCATCAAGTTCCACTAATCCATCTAAGGCAACACTCACTTTATTTATTTATTTTTTCCAGGGTCTGGAAAGCCGTCTCCGTATTACTACTCATCACCCACAACAGAGGAGCCCCGAAGAACACAGGTGAATGCAGTAATTCTGCACAAATGTCTGGTTACACTCCACAGCCTCCCCTTCTCATCTTGTCTCGTATGCCTGCTCTGATGTGGCTGTACAGAGGTAGAGGTTGTTTTGCTGTGTATATGCAGAGATTGTTTATTTCTCTGTTTGCCTGTTAGCTTTGTTTATTTGTGCAGACTATTTCTACTGTTATTTTTGTAGTGTTTGGGTTTTTTTTCAGTGTGATAGAGTAGTTTACAGTACATAATATTGCAATGTACACAACAAATGATTAATTAATCAAACTAAAAAATAAAAAAATATGATACTAGCCTTAAGAATTCATATTTATCATAGTGTTTGGTGATATAAGCTGGCACAAGGCACATGTCTGAGATCCCTCCGCTGCACTGTATAAGCACGACCAACCCTTCTAACCCGCTTGACTAATACAAAGAGACTGACACGTATTCCACCCCGGATGAATGACAATGCTGCGAATGACCCAGCACATCAGCTATTGTTTGAGTGAGATTGAATGTGACTGCTGGGATTGGGATGGTCTGGGTACGTCTCAGGCACTTGTCTCTGTTGGACACATCCATGTGTGCCCATTCAGATAACAGGCACGGAGAGGAGGAGGCAGGAGGGAGGAGATGCTGCACAAAGACAGAGTTCTCTTATGTCCTTCATTGCTTCACATTTCTGGCTAAAGACGGTCATTATTCATTTCAGACATTTATAAATCCCATCCATTTTGTTGGATTTCTAACATTTACCTTGAAGCTGTTTTTGTTGCATTAGTGGCCAGAGACGTGCAGGCGAGAAGATAATTGATTAGCCTATTGTCTGAAAAATCTCCAGCCACACTAACGAGCGTTTGTCCTGAATCTGCTGAGATGTTTGTTTATGCCGTTTCATTTTGTTACCACCATACAGAAGATTCATTTGAGATATTTTTTGTGTTTTGACAGGACGAACAAGAGTTATGTGCTTAAAGGCATAGTTAACTTTTTTTATTAAATCTTATTTTCTCTCTTGCTGAGGTTTCTAGAAGAAAGTCTGCCCCTGAGCTGTTGTTTTGACAGTCGCTGTCCGCTTGATTAGGTGCACCTATAAAACTCCTTGTTAACATGAACGGCTAATCAGCCAATCACATGGCAACAACTCAGTGCATTTAGGCTTGTGGGCTTGTAGGTGAGGTCAAGATGAATGGGGAAGGAAGGCGACGCAGCTAAGAACAGGAAACAGAGGCTGTAATTTGCACACGCTCACAAAAATTGGACAGCTGCTGGTGGTGTAATGGTGTTGGGGCATA